GCACCTGAAACAACACAAACAATAACAATAACAAACTCTCAATTAGACCAATGCACAACATTACCTTCCCGCACCTGAAACAACACAAACAATAACAATAAACAACAACAACAATAACAACACACTCTAATTCCTGTTAATAATCCTCACCAAACCCTAGCAAAAATCACGCACTAATTTTGTTGACATATGTAAACAAATCTAACTTGAAATCCAGGTCGATGGATGCACATATTGGTGAAAAGAATGATGTCTATGACATGTTTAAAACCTTACTATATATATGCACTTGGTGTTACGCCAGGAGTGTATACAAATAATACTTACTACTAGACAGCCACTATCACCGAGGTTGGCAGTATATATCGTGTGATTTCTTCGGTCCAGTACGACGATACAAACAGTACTGCTTCCTGTGTGAGATAAACACACCATGCAGATCAACGAGTGAGTCATACACATACATAGCACACGCGCGCGCACACGAGCACACACGCACACACGCACTAGCATGCACGCGCACGCACACACACATGCTCGCACACACACGCATGCGCACGTGCACATGCTCGCTCACGCGCGTGCATGCAAGCACACACACACACACGTTCACAAACACACGCGCACACGTATGCACGCACACGAACACGCACGCATACACACACATGCTCGCACACACACGCACGCACATGCATGCACACATGCACACACGCGCACACATGCACGCACACACACACATGCTCGCACACACATGCGCACGCATGCATGCACACACACACGCACACACACACACGCACATGCATGCGCACACACACACGCCTGCACACTCACACACACGTATGCACGCACACACACACATGCACGCACACACACGCACGCACATGCATGCGCACACGCACACGCATGCGCACACGCACACGCGCGCACACACGCGCGCACATATGCACGCACGCACACACACATGCTCGCACACACACGCACGCACATGCATGCGCACACGCACACGCTCGCACACACGCGCGCACATATGCACGCACACACACACACATGCTCGCACACACACGCACACGCTCACACACATGCGCACACGCACACGCTCACACATATGCATGCACACACACACATGCTCGCACACACACGCACGCACATGCATGCGCACACGCACACACACATGCGCGCGCATGCATGCACACACGCACACACACACATGCTCGTTCCCGTGCATGCATGCACACATACACACATACACGTTCAGACACATGCGCACACGCATGCACGCACATGCACACGCGCGCGAACACACACACAAGTGCGCGCACGCATGGACACACACACACACACACACACACACACACACACACACACACACACACACACACACACACACACACACACACACACACACACACACACACACACTTCTCTCTCTCTCACACACATGCGCACACGCACACGCTCACACATATGCACGCACACACACACATGCTCGCACACACACGCACACGCTCACACACATGCGCACACGCACACGCTCACACATATGCATGCACACACACACATGCTCGCACACACACGCACGCACATGCATGCGCACACGCACACGCTCGCACACACGCACACACATATGCACGCACACACACACATGCTCGCACACACACGCACGCACATGCATGTGCACACGCACACGCTCACACACATGCGCACACGCACACGCTCACACATATGCACGCACACACACACATGCTCGCACACACACGCACGCACATGTATGCGCACACGCACACACACATGCGCGCGCATGCATGCACACACGCACACACACACATGCTCGTTCCCGTTCATGCATGCACACATACACACATACACGTTCAGACACATGCGCACACGCATGCACGCGCATGCACACGCGTGCGAACACACACACACTCGCGCGCACGCATGGACACACACACACACACACACACACACAAACTCACGCATGCACACAGGCACTCTCTCTCTCTTTCTCGCTCTCTCTCGCTCTACGTAGATTAGAAACTTACCACACGCGATATAACGCCACCCACGCACACACCAGCTCACACCTCCACCATAATAACAAGTCTGACACCTAAGAACAGACACTTTCCACAGAAGCTACGCGTACAGTAGCCATGACAGGGACTCCCATAGTCTGCCTATATAATCTCGACCACACTCACACACCCTACCTATTTTATGACATAACTGACACTTGCCACATACTTACGATTAGCATACATGTACATACCGTAGCTATCATTAAAATGCACATACTGTGTCTATGGCAGGGTTAGCAATTAAGAGGCAGCAAGCAGCAGTTGCGCTGCCTACAGCGGGTCAGTTTGCTGCCGGCTCTCAACGTCAACAGGAAGTACTTGCTGCCAAGAAACTTGTAATTAAGCGAAGTGAAAGCGCCAAAGATTCTCCCCCAGAGTGAGTAAAATTTCCTACCTGCCTTTTTCACTGGCAGCGAGTACTTGCTACATGGCAAAAAAGTTCAATTTCTAACTCTACTATAATTCGACTGGCACACACAACACCGTACCCACGAGCAACGCAAACACACTGTACCTACGATTTTCTCTCGCATACCTATGATTGGCACTTTGTTCTCCAACAATTCCTGGTAGCTCGTCGCTATGATTTCGACGGGGAACTGCGGGCTGAACGTTCCCTGCTCGACAAGTCGCTCGCACGTAGACATGAGATAGGAGGAGAACTGTGATGGATCAACGCCGTAGTTGTGCCATCCCCCGACGCCATCAGCCACTCCTGCAACACCGAGAGAGAAAGACGTTCTACTAG